GTAGTTATATCAAAACCATGAAATAAGAGTGATAACAGACAAAGGCCTAACAGACTTCTTTGTAGCTGGTGATAGAATTGACCAAGGAGAAGTGATCTCACTACTAATGTGAAAAATATTTTATGATCTATTGCTAGTAAGAATACAACAGTTAGAAATTGGATACCAAATAGAACTTCAATAGCTGACAGAAATCAAAAAGCAAACTTACAAAACAGAAAAAATAATGATTTTAGTACTGGCATATACGAACGATACTACATAGGTAGCAGAATCTCAGCTCACACTGCAAGAAATCATCCAAGTATCAAACAGTTTCTTTATATTAAATAATATCGAGATTAATGAAGCAAAATCCGAAGCAATAGCTTAGAGACACCACAAATAAAGAAAGAAAGAAGAATATATAGAAATCAGAATACCACTGAGTTTAGTCAAAGTTAAGAAATCAAAAGAAAGCACAAGGTTTCTAGGTGTCTAGATTAGCTTAAAGAAGCAAGAGAGAACTAGTATATTACAATGCAAAAAAGAAGTAGACAAGTTAACATGCATACTAAAATACAAAAAGCTCTCAGCAAGCCAGATAGTATATATAAACAATATGGTACTACTCTCAAAACTTAAATATCTTTTAGCAAACGTCTGTCTTAAGAAAAAATCCTGTGATATGATATACCAACTTATGCTTAGACTTATCAAATAGAAACTAGAGCTTCTGTCTACATATGCAAATGCAACTCTCCAACATAAAGAGATCTTTGGAGTAGTTAGCTTATGGCAAAAACACATAGAGTATCACATATCTGAGCTCTTTGTAAGAATGAATACTAATAGTATCATAGGTACAACTACACTAATAAGGTTAAAGCAGTCCCAATTGGACATGAACATGTCTGAGTATATTTTCGTCACAAAAAATATGAACTAGAAAAAGACTAAGTATAGAAATTTAGAGACCAAAATAATGTAGCATGCAAAAAAACTTGGTCTTAGTGTAGCAAAAAATGAGTTCACAGCAAGTTAGGACTTCTTAAACCTACAAGAAGATGAGAAATATCTTATTAGCAATATACTCAGTAGGTATAACTTAAAAGAGGTGCAAGAAGGTATAAGCAAGCTAAACCTATGGTATATGAATTAGCTCTTAGATAATAAACAAGAGAAAATGATTACGTAGAGACAGCTTAAAGTAAGAGAAGGAAGAAAACACATAGGAAGAAAGGCCAAATAGTTTGGAGCAATAGAAAAAGAAATACTAGTAGACAAGAAGACAAGAAAAGTATCTGAAGAATACAGAAAAAAAAGGTTTTTAGGTACAAGAAATCGAATCAAAAATTTCACAAGACAAAAGGAAAAAAGAATAGGTTTTTATAAAAAGTAAAGAGAACAAAGAGAGTAAAATTAGTCATATTATTAGAAAAGAAAAGAAGCTCGCAGAAGTAGAAATCTAGGAAGAGAACTACGGAAACATACAAGAGGCACTCGATCAATAGTTAATACTTACTTAGCAAGAAACCTACAAGGAAGGCTATAAATTAAAGAAAAGTAGCTAAAAATAACGAGTAGTGCTTAAAAAGGTTCACAATATCTCAAGCTTCATTTGAAAAAAAGATAATATACCTCAAGTAGTATTCAATAGAAAGTACTTGGAAAAAATAGGAAAAGAAAACCAAAAAAGCAAAGTAGAAGAGTTTAAAAAGTTCAAGAACCTAAAGCATATTGAAACTGAAGAAAGCTAGGAAGCAGAGTTAATTAACCAAGTTATTCAAAACACAAATGACAGAAGAGTATTTAAAGAAAGATTAGAGACAAACAAAGAAAAGAAGGAAATAGTATTTTACACGATAGCTCACTTGGTAGAGAGAATACTTGGGATGGAATGAGGATAGGATATAGTGTAGTTCAATTAGATAGTACAAATAATATAGTCTTCAGGTATAAAGGAAGGGTAGAAAATTGGTTTTCATCTACTCATGCAGAGCTAGTAGCTTGTCTAGTAGCAGTGTTATTAGTTCTCAACAGTTGTAGAGTAGAAATAAGAACAGATAGCACATATGCAATTCTCGTAATCAAAAAATGTCTCAAAAATGAGAAGTCACGTAAGTGGTTAAAAACCAAGAACAACAACATTTTGCATGCAATCAAGAAGGTTTGCAAAAGTAAATCAATACAATTAGTATTTACTAAAGTCAAAAGTCATTCAGGTGATATATATAATAATGTAGCAGACACACTTGCAAAAGAAGGGATATACGAAATACAAAGTATAGAACTAGGTAATATAAGTAACAAGAGTGTAAAATATATCTCTGAATGAAAAGGCCTAAGTCTTGAAACTCTGTTGAGAGCCTTTATTAAAAAGATAGTTCAAACAATATACAAAGCAGAGTGGACATGAGTAAGAAAGAAAAACGACAAGGAACACCAAGCAAGGATCCAAAAACAAAACTAGAAAGCATTCAAAGGTATCCTTGAAAGCTGTCATATGCAATATAAAAACTCAGAAGTAAACTATCTGCAACTATTCAAAATCAAATACATTGAAAACCTCCTTCTAACAGTTGAAGCCTTAAACTGTAGAAAACCATAATTATACAAAAATAGCTTATGCAAAAGATATGCTAAGGAAAAGGAAATGATCGAACATATTATCTCATGTGAAAAAACACATCTAGTATATAAAAGAATTGAGAAAGAAATATAGAAAAGGCTTAATGAAGACAAAAGAAAGGAAGAGGACTGGGATCTAACAAGTATACAATAAGCTATCCATTATGAGCAAGAAGAAGGGCATCAAAAAAAGAAAGAATAGATGAGAGGTATCCTCAGTAAAGAAAATGTAGAAAAAATCAAAAATATCATCAGCTCTGAAAGAATAATGATAAAATTTTAGAGCCTCTTCTGGCATATTTAGATAGAACTCGTATATAAAGAGATATGGAAAAATCAATGCAAAGACATAGAGGCATGGGAGAAAAAAGGAAAAATCTCTAAAAAAGAAAAATACTCATGAAAAGAGAAAGAGAAGAAGAACTAGAAAAAAGTACTAGTTGGGAAAAAAACAAATAACAGAGTAGATGGGAACATAGAAAATTGTAATTATAGTCTTAAAATAATGTTAGATAGCATAGTTAAGAAAGTAAAAAAGGGAATAATAGCTAGTTGGATTTAAACTTAGTCATGATGAGCTGTGGCGTCCTTCCTATGCTGAGAGCAGCTTATATTTTATAAACTGCTTTAACATAGAACAAAGGTCACTATAGCAGATCGCACATAGGTATCCATAGGATAACTGGGTGAGTCATAGTTTAAAAAATTAGATATTAGATAGTATATAGCTAAATAATGTTGTTTTCAAATAGAAAACAAATCTAAATAAAGTTATGGCATGACTGCTGAATTATAAAAAAAAAAAATTGCTGATTTTTAAACAAAATTCTTTAACAAAAAAAATTTTTCAACTAGTATCTATTACTAATAGTATATTGAAAAAGCTATATTATTTGTAACATTATTAAGAAAAAAAAGCATTAAGTATAGAATATAAGAAATAGAAACTAGTATATATTTAGTATTAGACCAGTTTTTAATTCTTTATCTAAATTCAATCTCAATTTTCTAATACTATAGTAAGTTCATATTATAATGATACTAAGATTTATAGAATAAAGAAAGAACTATTTTTTGTAAAAAAGAATTAACATTTATTGTTAAACCTGTCTTCTTATACCGATCTAGATTCTAGAAATCAACAATATTTTTCGCACTAAACACTAAATAATAAGCTGAATTTTTGTTCAGTTCTATTTCGATCCTTTTCATAAATGTGTTTGGTCAAGTACAACTGTTATACAAAATCAATAAAAGTGGTTTACTAACGCCAATAACTAATATATAATTAATATATTATTAAAAAAAAATACAAGAAAATTTAGTTACAATACAGTAAAGTATAAGTAAATATACTTAGTAGATATATTTATCTAATCTGCTTAAGCAATATCTTTTTTTTTTATCTCTAAATTTAAATTACGTATATAACAGTAGTGATTTGAACCGAGAAAAAATTCCTTTATCTGGTAACCGAACCGAAATATTTAATGTCAACCGATTGCAACCGATTAAGATTACTTCACACTTTGCCTTCGGAAGTTCTCGAACCTTTACTCGAATTTTTATGTTCATTCATTTTCTTTTCGGAAGTTCTCGGACCCTTTGCTTCTTATTGATGTCATTTACATCCTGTCAATCGATTACTGACACTCAACGGTTGTACGGATCAACCGATTAAGAATTTACTTAACCGGTTACCCGAAATTTACTCAATACGGGTCGGTTAACCGATTATAGCCCAACCGGTTCAAATCACTACATAGGAGGTAATCTTAGGGGGGACAACTGTACTAAATCGCAAAACATCTATATAATATTTATATATCGCTAGCGCTAGCGCTAGTAAATTTTATTATGACTATAAATCTAGGAATGGCCCATTTTGCTAAACATAAGGGTACCCAAACTCGTACAGGGATGTCCCTAAATTTCTGGATCGGAAGAATCGAAATCTTAGCCGATTGAGCCGGAATAACTAATTTTGCCTAAAATTTACTTCCGATCCGGAAATTTGGGAATTCCCTAGGGAATAGATAAATTAATAATTTACTATCGCTATATATAATTTTAATTAAATATAATTTAAAAAATAGAGTTCTCTACCCTTAAATTTCTTCTCTCTTGAGTCTAAAGTGTTGATGTTGACTATTTAAGCGACTTTAGCTTTTATTAATATCTTTACAGACTATTTCACTTAGCGTTAGCATTAATTAATTATAATAAAACATTCAATTTTAAGCATATCGCGGTATTGTATACGTATCAGAATTTTAATACCAAAATATCAGCATGATGTGCTACAGTACCACATTAAAACTTATACGTACTAGTGATGAAAATTTTACTACTAAAACCCATAATGGCATACTTTTTACACTATTGATTTGTTATTTGTCGCAAACTTCGACTACGCTTGTAGAATCTTGTTGAATCACTGAAATTGCTTTAAATTCAACATCTGCCTTAATCGAAACATTATTCGTGGTTGGTACATCCTTGTTTTCCACTAAACAATTCCATTCTATTTCCTCCTTACCGTGTTCCTTCAAATATTTGTTAGCTTTTGACCAATGTCGACAATCGAGAAAACCACGGTGTACCGATAACGGCGAAGGATGAACAGCCTCCAAAACGAGATGTCTTGTCTAAAATTTTAATAAATTCATTCGTAACTGAAAGTTTAAATGATTTAAAGGATTATATATATAATAACGTATATACCTTATTGATAACTTTACCCTTTTTAATCGCATGCCCACCCCAAAGCATGAATACTAAACCGGTTTTTTTCTCATTCAAATATTGGATTATGGCATCTATTTTAAATGTAATGTTTAGCTATCTTAATAACCGCTCAAATAAATGCTATAGATACTATAACATACCGGTAAATCTTTCCCAACCTTTGCCATTATGGCTCAATGCCTCATGTGCTCGTACTGTAAGTACTGTGTTCAAAAGAAGAACTCCGGATTTAGCCCAATTGACAAGATACCTATTATTAATGAGCAAACACCAAGTTAATGATTAAAATTATATTAATATTACATCTAACTTGTTATAATAATATTACATCTAACTTTGTTACTAACCCATGTTTAGGTATTTGGAATGTTGGAATATCATTCTGTAAGCCTTTATATATATTAATAAGCGATGGTGGTGGTTGAACGTTAGGTGGAACGCTGAAACATAAACCATGGGCTTGTCCATCATTATGATATGGATCTGACAATAATGCTAGTCAATATGCGAATTTTGTTTTAACTTTTACTACAGAAATCATAACCGAATACCTTGCCCTAAAATCACAACCTTAACCGCGGAGGGAGGAGTAAATTTTGACCAACTATAAATTTGAGTTTCTGTAACATCCAATAAGTAAATGAAAACATATTTTAACAGTAAATCATATGAAAATTAATATCACACCAGGTGGAAATATTTTCTTATTATTCGACTTTTCGGTAGCAAGGAATTTTTTCAACTACACATGGAATACGAATTAGTTACGCTATTAAATTTAATGCGTTACATAAAATAAAGAGTCTTGTAAACCTCAGCAAAATAAGGCTTTTGCATTTCGTTCACTAATGCTTTCAACCACTCGCCGTCCATGGTTTCAAGTTCTGTTTTTAGCAGCTTTTTCATTTCTTCACTCATTTTTCCAGTGACTTTGGTTACTGTTTCCCCGGAAGCGGAAGAGGGCTGTTTAATCCAGGACGTAAGAAAAGCTTGTTTTGGAGTAGTTGTTTTTTGTTTTTTGCTATCTTGGCTGCTATCATCAAGAGTGTCTTTGCGTTTTGACATTTTTTTTTTTTTTAGTTGGAAACTCTATCAACGCGTCTTTATGAAATTAAAATGTTCGCGCACATAATATTGCGGTGGTACAGGAGGAGCGTTCTTATCCTGTACCCGGAGTTGAGGTTTTTATCTGTGTCCGGGTATCGATATAGGGAACGGGTACTTCCAATTTTTGGTATTTAATTTACTACTGTGGTTATAAGTTTAGAGATTTCTTTTTTTTTTTTAAAGAGTGATGTCTGGCCTCGGTTTTTATTTATGTAGATATATAGAGTACTATATACTTATATATAACTATTACTGCAACCTATAGCTAGAGCTAGTTTATCTCTCGGCCTATACTCTATTAGAGTAGGCTTTCAGATCTTTTCTAGATTCTGATATTTGGAATTTTAGTAAATGATATATAGAAGTAAGTTAATAGAAACGCACCAGATCCTTTTTAGTAAAATATTTTTATAACTTTAAATAAATATTATTATTATTTTTTTTTTATTAAAACTGCTTTTTTAGCTAATTGGATTTTATTAATTTGTTATTATGAAGTTATGTTTATAGTAATCTTTTAGTTTATAATTATATGATGAGTGTATAATAAATCATATATATAATTTTAGTCATTATTTAATTTAAATAGTTTGCTATACAGATATTAGATCATCTGTTTGGTTCTATACTATATTGCTATATCTGCAACTCATTTGTTTTTTTTTTTTTAAACTTAGGCAATCTTGTTTTTCATTTATTAAAAGAAAACATATATAATGTTACAACAAAAATAAAAACTAATTTATATTAGCTATATAACTACCTTCTTTTTCTAATTTCAGACTCACTTAGCTATCTTAGATACTCAAGTGTGATCAGTCATAAAAGTAATTTCCTCTTACTAGAGTAGTTTGTCTAAGCAAAGTCTTGCTCTAATGATCTATAGAAGATTTCTTTGCGCCTATTTCAAGATACCTTAGTTATTTTTAAAACTTAACTAGCTTTCCTTTAAGCCTTTTTCAATTTATGTTTTTACTTTAGCTTTAGCTAGGTTTTGTATTCTATCTTCCTTGTCTTTACTTGATTTTTCATGATTATTCTTGCTTAGATTTTGGTTTTCTTTATTTGCTATATTTTCTTTCTTAAGTTTATTATACTTTTACTTTGCTTTTTTCTTTTTTTCTTTAAACTTGATATTATTTCTTTCTTTCTATTCTGGTATAACTTTACAATGAAATTTTTATAATCTTTTGAAAAAATTAGACTAGAATAGTTTAGAGAACTAGCTTATTATCTTGCTAGTTTTGAAAACAGATCCTAAAATCTCTTTAATATTTGTTATAAGCTGATTACTTGTTAGATCTCAAATGTATAACTTTTTTCTATTAAATATCTCAGCTATATCCTGTCCTATAGATACTTCTTTTAAGGTCTAATCTGAGATAGCTATATTCTATCTGTTAAGGCTATATCATTAATCACCTGATTTTTTTTTATCAGTACCTTACTTCTCCCCTCTCAGATTTAATATATAACTGATCAGATTCTCCATATATAAATTCAATTTTTTTGACCTCTCTCCTTTCTAGAAAATCACCTGATTTTTGACAGCTCCCTTATCAATTTTTGTACTCAGCTCTTCTATAATCAACCTTTTAATCTTTCTCTAAATTCTTTGATATATTTAGTATTCTACAATATGTTCTAATAATTCTTTTTTTGCAAAGTATGCTATATATGTTTTACTCTTATATAGGCTCAGATTCTTTTGAAAGCAGAGATCTTTAGTTGATAATAACTTGTTAAAATACTTTATTCTAAAGATTAGAGCTTTGCTTTTTTTGATACTAGTGCATCTCTTTCTCTGAAGCTTCTTTAATAAGCTCCATATATTCTTCTAGTTTAGCTCTTCATTACTTTACCCGTTTGATTTTTGATCTAGTATTGATTTAATATTATTTAGATCTGCTTATTCATATTTATATATTGTTGTTGTAATTATATTAATAAAGAATTTGAGTAAGCTATCTATTAGCTTATTTTTTCAAGTTGGTGCTACTCTTATACTGCCTACTGTAGTGTCCTGTACTTCTAATACTAGGTTAGATAAGAGACCTTCATTTGCTAACTTATCAGCTTTGTCATTTCAGTAATTTATGCTATAGCTTTTGATCTTAATTAGCTCTAGCTTGATATTTTTAGTTCTACAACAATCTATTATTTGATTAATCAAACTGCGATTCTTGGTTTTAAATATGCTTCTAATATTTATTCAACTTTGGAAACCTTGTATTCTCTCTATTACTATATTGCTGTCAGAGTATACTCTCACTTTTGCACTAACAGGAGCTACTAACAGAGCTGTTTATATTGTATCTAGTTCCACTCAAGTTAAGGAGGGTTAGTTAGCTATTCTACTATTGAAACTAATATTATCTATACTACTATTCTTATTAGCTATAACTCAACCTATATATATTCTTTTTTCTTCTCTATTTCCTTCATGCTCTGTTACTAATAACCTATCTGTATAGATATTTAGCTCCTTTTTTCTTCTTAACTTTTATGCAATATTAATTAACTTGTTTTGCATCTTCTTGTTACTAATTATCCTTTGAATCACTACTTCTTCTATACTAGCTACTCTTGTTTCTATTTCTCCTTTCTATTCTTCTTCTTTTTCATATTGAAGCTTCTTGTTTGCTATATAGACTAACAGAAACATTTCAATTAATAGTATTTTTCTTCATATACTACCTTTTCTAGAACTTGGTACTATGTTTTTAGCTTTTGCCTTGTTATACAGCTTGTATTTTTATGTCTTCTATATATATAGTCTTCACACTTTTTAGCTAATATATTTCTTGTATTCTCATTTGCTTCAATTCACTAGTGCTTAGTTACAAAGTTCTTGTTTTCTTTTTTTATAACTTTGCTAATTTCAAAGCTTCTTTTCTTTTTAAAAATGATCTATTTTTTTTTCTTTTTGTCTACAAATATTTTGTATCTGTTAAATCTTATTATATATTAGTTTGGATTTGCTATACAGTATTCTTTTTTTAGAAACCTTGTTATACTACAATCTAGAACTCTTTCTTCTATATACATATACTAGTATGGCTTTTAATCTCTTTCTTTGAAACCTCTAACATATCTTACTTGTTACTATATTAAAAGTCTATTGCTACTACTTGTTATTAGCTATTCTAGTATAAAAATATTTATATTATTACTCTTTCTATATCTGTTAACCTTTTTTTTGTCTAGCAGACTTGAGATACTTGTGCCTAGTATTTCTAAATTTTCTTCATAAACACTGCTTTTTGAAAACTGAAGTCTAGTTTCTTTCTTTCGTAAATTATCTTGTAAGCTAAATTAAATTTGAACTTTATATAATTTAACTTACTGAAATTACTAAGAATATTGTTTGTATTTATATAGCTTAGTTATACTTCTTTCACTCTTAATCTTGTAGTGAGTCCTACTTCATTTTGTTTGTTTAAACATATAGTTAGCTCTGTAATATGATATACAAGCTGATTCTGCTAAATTGTTTATAATTCTAGAATCTTCATATGACTATATATACTATTCAGAGCTGATTTTGCTAGGCTTATCTTGTTCTTAATTAATATTTAAATAGATCTTTATATTCGCTTACATGCAGATTTAGATAAAAAAGATATCTAGAGCCTATACTCAATACTAGGTATAAGTACACTATTATTTAAATAAACTAACTGGTTTACTAATACTTTTTTCTATATGATTGCTTTACACATTCTTGTAATTTCTTTCATAATAATAGTTTTATTGTATTCTTTTCTACCTTTCTCAGATATCTATACTCTGAGATGTCTTATGACTTCCTTTCCTCGCTTTGCTTGTACTAGCTCTTTAGCCTTTTCTATCAATATTTTTAAATGTATATCTTTTTCTTTATTCTTGTAGTTTAGATTTAATATGAAGAATTCAGATTTTTTACTATTTATCTCAATATTATTTAGCTCATAAAATTCTGCAAAGATATCAACTATTTTTTGCATTTCCTTTTTTGATCTTGCTAACTATGTTGTATCATTTGTGTAAGCTAGTACACTCTGTTGTCAGCTTATTACTTGCATATTGCTTATCTTCAAATTACAAGGCTATCTAAGCTTCATTTTATAATCTAAATCTTCTTCTTTGCTGATTAAGTATAGTAGTAGATCATAGAATATTTGTTATATAATAGGTAAGATAACTTCTCCTTAGTTCAAACCATCTTTTGTTTCAAACTCCTTGGTTAAACCATAATCTGTAATGACTTTAATCTTTTGCTTATTGTATAAGCTAAGAAGAAACTTAGTTATCAACTTAGGTATTCTAATTCTCTTTAATACTTTTTTTATTATTATTAAGCTTACTAAATCGAAAGCTTTTTTCATGTCCTGAAAGAGAATTTATAGCTTTTTGCTTTTTTGCCTTGTGTCTTCTAGCAGATATGAATCAGACTTGAAATGCTATCACTTGACAAACTTGTAAAGTTTGGGCCTTCTAATATACTATATTTAACAAATATACAATCTAGTCTTTGTATAATGATTCTTACTACTGTTTTCTAAAATGCTTCTAGTAGTACAATAGATCTTATATTTGTCAGGTCATAATTTCAGTCTTCACTTTTTGGAATTAGATATAGTTGTCCTAATTTTTATTTTACAGAGATGTCTCTTTTTGTAATACACTAGTCTGCTAGTAGTCTGAATACTTTTTGTACTGTTTGTTCTGCTTTTTTTATCTGAAAGTAACTAATTTCTAAGATATCAGATGCAGACTTATTTTTTGTTTTGTTTAGAGTATTAGCCTAATCCTCTTCTATTACCTTCTTTAAGAGGTCTTTATAAATTTTAATATCTATTTTTTTTATTAGACTATATACTTTCATATATTTTGCTAATAGACTATTTTTATTGATATTTCTTTTTTGGAATTGCTTCATAAAATAAGATTTCATTTCACTTAGAACTTCTTTTTCC